ACTACTACTACTACTACTACTACTACTACTACTACTACTACTACTATTACGACTACTACCACTACTACTACTACTACTACTACTACTACGGCTACAGCTACACCTACCACTACTACTCCTGCGACTACTGCTACTACGATAACCACCACCACGACCACCACTACCACTCATACTGCTACTACCACTACTAGTACCACTGCGTCTACTACAAGTAGTAGTAGTAATACGACTACTACTACGATTACTACTATCACTACAATTACTACAACCACTACTACTACTACTACTACTACTACTACTACTACTACTACTACTACCACTACTACTACTATTACTACTACAACGGCAAGGACGACTACTACTACTGCTGCTGCTACTACGACTACCACAACCACTACCACGACTACGACTACTACTACTACTACCACTACTACTACTACTACTACTACTACTACTACTACTACTACTACTACTACTACTACTACTAGTACTACTACTACTACTACGACCACCACTACTACGACGACAATGGCTACTATTACCACTACTACTCCTACGACTACTGCTAATACTATGAGCACCACCACCACCATTACTACTACTACTGCAACTACTACTACGACTACTACTGCTACTACTACTACTACCACTACTCGTATCACTGCGCCTGCTACTACTACTACTACTACTACTACTACTACTACTGCGACTACTACTACGACTGCGACTACTACCACTACTAGTTACTACTACTACTAATACGACTACTACTACTACTACTACTACTACTACTACTACTCCTACTACTACTACTACTACTACTACTACTACTACTACTACTACTACTACGTCTACAACTACTACTATTACTACTACCACTACTACTACTACTACTACTACTACTACTACTACTACTACTACTGCTACTACTGCTACGGCTACTACTGCTACTACTACGACTACGACTACGACTACGACTACGACTACTACTACTACTACTACTACTACTACTACCACTACTACTTCTACTACTACCACTACGACGGCTACTACGACGACGACGACCAATACTACTGCTGCTGCTACTAATACGGTTACTACCACGAATACTAATACTACAACTACGACGAAACAAGCATCAATAATAGTAACAATACGAGTGCGACTACGGCTACGATTACTACTACTACTACTACTACTACTACTACTACGACCACTACCACCGCAACTACGACCAACACTACCACCAGTACTACTACTCTTACTGCTACTACTACTACTACTACTACTACTACTACTACTGCTACTACTACTACTACTAATACTACTACTACTACTAATACTACTACTACTACAACTACTACTACTACTGCTACTACTACTATACTAACTACTGATACTACTACTACTACTACTACTACTACTACTACTACTGATACTACTACTACTACTACGACTACTACTACTACTACTACTACTACTACTACAACTACTACTGCTGCTACGACTACTACTACTACTACTACTACTACCACTACGACTACTGCTACGACGGCGGTTACTACTACGACTACTACTATTACGACCACGACAACTACCACTACGGCTACGACTACTACCACGACGACGACTAAGACTACCGCCGCGACGACCACCAGAACCACGACCACTAATACTACAGGTACCACTACTTCTACTACTGCTGCCACCACCATTACTACCACTACTACTACTACTACTACTACTACTGCGACTGCTACTACTACTACTACTACTACTACTACTACGACTACTACTACTACTACTACTGCTACTAGAACAACTACTACTGATACTACCACTACTACCACTACGACTACCACTACTACTACTACTACTACTACTACTACTACTACTACGACTGCCACTATTACTACTACTACGTCTACTACTACACTACCTACTACTACTATACTATTACTACTACTACTACTACTACTACACTACTGACTACTACTACTACTACGAACTACTACGCTACTACTACTACTACCTAACGGCCGACCTACCTGCCTGCCAAACTACTACTATCTACTACTACTCTACTGCTGCAAC